CTTCAGGACCAATCCGGGTGAAATGCTTAAAAACATTCTGGGGAACTTCCCCTAATCACTCTTCACCATTCTCAAATTTTTGGGTGTGGTGGACACAATTGAAGTAACTCCATCCATTCTGAACAGCTCACCAAAGGATGTTTGGACATTTGTATGTGAATGACGACTACCGTGCCTCTAACCCACCCTCTGCTTGGGTACTTCTAAACCAATCCTGAAGAGTCTTTTCCTACCACATGAATCTGCCAGACTGTTACAGTCCTTTCACCAAATCACCCCACTCTCAGATTAAAGGAGCAATGAGCAGAGAAATGGGGTCTTCTCAGTGGTGATACCTTGTCCTTGGCACTCCCTCTCCAGAGACACAGACCTGATGCCAGTTCTGATGTCCTATCAAAATCAGGTGGAGATTAGAGTCCATACAAATTGGAAGGTTTTTTTTTTAAACAGGTTTTTTAATGGTTTCTCTGTATTTTATTGCCTGGAAAAAGCAGGTATTGTAATTTTTATATGGTAGGTTGGTTAGTGCCTGGTTTTTATTGGTTTAAGGGCTCACTCTCCCAGGGAGGTATGTAGTAGGGCAGTTTATACCATTGGAAATAAATCTCCTGCCCTAGCTTTTGAAATGGGGTGTATTTATTAAAAGGGCCATCAAAATTTCCTTTGAACATCTAATGCAGGAGTTAGCTATCTTCAAGCATTGAGTACCATTGCACAATGTTGAATCATGGCATGGGCACCCAAAACATTTTTTAAAATTTAAAATAGTTAAAATCTGGAAAGATCAGCACTTCTCCCAAGGAATCAGCCATCTCACCCTGTGTTCTCATGGGGGAAGAGAAAGAATCCATGTATTTCCACTTGAAATAATTCAAGATTTTGCAATCTCATGAGATCTGCTGATTAAAACATAATCCTAATTAATGTTGGGGTTTGGTGAATCTCAGCTAGGTATCACTAAATCTCACTTCTGTGCAATTGGTTGATGAAGTGCTTTGCTTGATGAAGGTTTAAACCAAGGAACCTTTTGAATTGTCTCCTTGAAATGACCTGACAAGCTGCTTATAACAGGTAGAGCAGCCAAGGAGCTTCACATATTGACAGGAGTTTCAAAGCTACAGTGGGGCAAAAAAGTATTTAGTCAGCCACCAATTGTGCCAGTTCTCTCACTTAAAAAGATGAGAGAGGCCTGTAATTTTCATCATAGGTATACCTCAACT